TCTTGATGCCTGCCTCCTTCGGTCTGGCGGTGACTTTTGGCCCCAGCCAAACGCAAAGTTTTGTGCCTAAAAATGTGACTATGGAAATGTCTGGTAGTGGTACTCGTAGTACTGGTAGAACTCGTGCTGCAACCCCTTACGAATTCATGCTGACGCTAATTAACAATTAGGCGCATTTTAGCGATACTCTGGCATCTCGCCTCTGAAACGGAGCTCCAGCAGGCTGTCAGCGGCTTAAGTGGCAACTTTTGAACTACTTACAAGGCTAATAACTAATTTACTTCTAACTTTGGCTTAGGGCTCGGTTCGCTCTCGCCACAATTCGTTCACTGTGCACAGTTTGTCCCCAGCCTATAGTCGAGTTTTACGCTTATTACTAAAGAATTTCAAACTGACAAATAAACTCGGAGCTCGCAGTCGGAAGGAGGCCCAAAGGATTCCCCGCCACAATGGCAACAAAGGCGAAGAGAGCACAAAGCCGGCTTTTGCAGTTTTAAGGGAGTTTCAGGGAGGCACTGAGTTATATCTAGTCATATATAAACGTCAAGACGGGGGAGACTTTTGACAATTGCCACACAATTGTCGGGCGACGACACCAACTGTTTGCCGGCAAAGCCGCTGTGGGACTCATAAAGGGAACATTTAGCTTATTTGCTGTATAAATACTGACACCTCCGTCGGCTGTGCGGGATGACTTTCAGACCGCCAGCCAGTCTGGCTTCTGTCTGTGTCTGAATCTGTGTCTGTGTCTGTGTCTGTGCCCAAGTTGGAGGACCATAAAAATGGGATGCTGCGCCTGCAGGCACACTTGGCCGCCAACAATTGCCGGCAATATTGATGGGGCAGCATATCATTTGCAGCATCTGATCCCTGTGATTGGACCCGGCATATGGGAGTTATCGTGCGGCTGAATTGAGTACGGAAAGTCATTTACATTTTAATCAATGCGATTGCGGAGGCGGGGCGCCTTCCCTTCTTATTGCTGAGACGACTTCAGAATATTTTTACATTAGCCTCGTTACATGTCAAATGAGTGTCACTAATTACATATTAATTAGTTTCCCTTTACCAGCCCCATTCCCGGGCGAGAGCATCATCAATCAAAGGCGCAGGGACTAGAGAGCGGACGACTTCACTAATAAAATAAATAGAAAAATGCTAATGAAACTACTTTGGGCTTGGGCTGCCCTCTTTAATCAGTGTACACATACATATTTATGATTAAATTTTCATTAGACGAGGCAAACAAAATCGAGAATATTCACAAGAACAGACGAAGAGAGCCGAACTCAGGGGCGGCAGTAAGTATGCGATTTGGAGCTCACTTACCCATTTCCTGCCTAAGTAATTACAATTTCAATAATTTATAGCAGAATAAACGTAGCCAAACGCAAGGGCCAGGCGAGATACAGAAACATAAATACAGAATCACAATAAAGGATGCAGGGGAGTGGGCAGGAGTGACTTCGGCTTCAATCAGTTTTTGCCAAGCAAATATTATTTGAAGCCACCACTCGCCTCCCAGAGAGTTTTGTAATTATGCCGAAAGCTTGAAAATCCCCACAAAATAATTAATAGCTTAAACATATTTACATAGCAGTTTGAGCTATCTGCAGTAATCAGATTAAAACATTTTCAGATATGAATTGGTCGCATTATGGCAGGATCTTCATTTGTCGTTCACTTCGCTCTCTTTGGTTCCCAGAATGCTGGCTAAGCTGTGAAAATTAATGGAGTATTTATTTGTTTGCTTAATGATTTATTAGCTGCAATAAGACGGCGAAGGGTTCTGCAGATTGAACCTAATCCCCGAGCAATGGCAGCTCTTGAGCGGAGAAATTTCACCTGATTCAAGTGTGATCTCTCTCCATCTCATCTCCTGCCTCTTGGTCTCTCCACTCGCCGGCTTATTCAAATCGCCGCCACAATGCCAGGAACAAATCCTCAGACGCTCATTAGCAGCCATTAAACGTCAATTTACATGTCAATTGGCAACAGGGCCCGGCTAGGCAGCCAAAGGAAGCCAGCCAGTGCGGCTAAAAGGAAAATGAAGAACAGACCGGGAAGAACGAGGTACTGGGACATGAGCTTTGAGCTTTGACTTTCGCCATGTCAGCGACTTTGTGTTTAGTTTTTTATCCCGCCGGCTCCGATTTCTCCACATTTTTTGTATTATTCATAGACGCGACTAGCTTTTTCACCTCCAGCCAGGACCCAGGACTTAAAATACAATTACTCGGCTCTGGAGGAGCGTTGGGGAAGGCGGTGCAGCTCGCTGCTGGAGAGACAGGACAGGCTGCGACTCAAGGGGAGATAAGCAAAAACATAACGTGCAGCAATTAGTGGCCTGTCCTCGTCGTCTCTTGGCGCAGCACATGCACAGAACTTGCCATGTGGTTAACTAATTTAATTTGGCTTTCTTTTTCCCGCCCACACCACTTCAATCCACTCCAATCCCCTCCAATCCCCTCCATCCCGAGCCCCTTTTGGCTGCGGCATCAAAGACAACGACACGTTAATGACTTCTTTTGCCGTGGCAACATAGGACAGCCAGGATGAGGGACTGAACGTGGGGCAGGCATAAAAATAAAATCTAAAAACTGCCACACATGGCTAGCAGGGGAATCAAGAGCACGGCAACAAAGACAAGGACGACAGGCAGGCAAGGCTGGGGTGGGAGGACCTGGACCCGGGCTCAGACCAGGAGCCACTTAACTTGTCTATATGAGCCTAATGGCCTTTAATATTATTTTCACTGCTCTTTCCTTTAGCTGAGGACCGAAAAAAGAACAAAAAACGAAAGTAAAAGCAAAAGGAGAGCAGCCAAAAGGGAATCACTGAAAGCCCTGTGTGCATTTTATCCTTGCCGGTCGTCGGTGTCGTTGTGCCCCAGGTAATTGTAGAAAATTGCTGCAACGCCAGGCTAAACATTGTGCAAATCCTTTTGTCCTGACCCTAGCCTGTCTACTTTGTTCCCAGCCCGAATCCCACTTCTTCGCATTCCCCTCCCTGTTATCCTTTTACCTCTTTTTTTCCCTGTTTTTGGCCGCAACTGTTAACAGCCAGTTGAACTATGCCATTTCATATGTACAACAGCAGGCGCCGCAAAGTATGCTGCACTATTTTTACCTTGTCCTGACCCGGCCCAGCTCCTCCTGCCCCTTCAGGTCCAACGTGCTTTACATTTTTATTAAGCCAACCCTTCCACAGCTTCCACTGCCACTTCCCAAGCCCTTCCACCCTTTCGTCCTTCCACCCTTCTGCCCCTGAGCCCTTCTTGTTGTTGTTTAGCATGCCGGGGGCGTTGCTTGGCTTATTGCACGTGCTTGGGACGGAGGGGTGCTCCAGAGTGGGGTAGTGGGCTTGGGAACGGAACCCAAATGCCATTAGGCTTAACCCGGACACAAGACAATTGCCTGCAGGCCATGTGCATGGGTCCAACGTGTCGTATTAGTTATTTTCTCCTTCGATTGCTTTTGCCACTTTAACGCGACAGCAGCTGGTCTGTGGGTCTGTGGCAAGCAAGTGTTTGGCCAATTATGTGACGCTCCATTTTCGATATGATACGAGTGCCGGGGTGCCGGAGTGCCAGACGGTGTGCCTGGAGAGGAGGCGGCTTAAATGGTTTTTGAAACCGAAAAATGGGAGGTCCTTGCACGAAGGTAGAAGGTGTCCCTGAGTGGCTATTCTTTTGCACATTCATTTACCAGTAAAAATTGATTTCATCTTAGCGAATCCATGTCTGATCACTCGACCGAAATATAATCATAAGGTAGATTCTAAGTATTTTTAAGCCTCACATTCCCCATGCTCGCCCATAGTTTTACCAACTCTTTTTAAAGTAGTGGCTAGCGTGTTCAATATCCTTTCGATGTCTATCCTTAACTCAGTAGCTCTATGCGTGGCCAGCTTGTAAATGTGTGTGAGATGGTATGCTTGAGTGTGCGTGTCTGTTCTATATCTAAATATACATACATCAAATTAATATTATACGTATATGAATAGTTACTTTCCATTCTCGTATATTGTAAGTTAAAAAAAAAAAAAAACAAAAACCAATTGTACGACAATTTTAACTAAATATCACCCATTTTTATCTTCTTTTCTTTCCTTTTTATGTAACACTTGTTCGTGCTCTATATCAAATATATATGATTGAAACGAAAAAAAATAAATACATCAAAATTGGCAAAATTGGAAAACTGACAATTCTTCTTCTATTATTATTTCTTAAAACTGATTTCAATTTCTGTGATCTCTTACTCGTATTGTTTTGATTTTGATTTGGTTCATTACTTAACGAAATTTGTACCTTCTCGATGCAACAATTTCAAATAAAATAAAAATTTGTTCCGCTTATAAAATCTAAATTTGTTCTCCTTCCTCCCACCCCAACCTTCCTAACCACATTTATAAATGTTGTAATTGTAATTGCTCTATTGGTGATCAAACTATCCACCCAAAACACCAACAAAATCTCTCGTTAAATAAATGTTGTTGCTTTTACTTTCCTTTGGGTATTTTGCGCCTGTTGAAATTTTAAAAAATTACAAACAAAAAAACAATTACATAAATGTGCCTGCTGCGTTCGTTACTCGTTACAACAAATGTTGCGTAATGTGTAACCCTGTTGCATTTACATCTCTTTTGATATGACACACATGAACATTACGATCAATCAAACGTCCTTTGTTTCCGTATTCATTTTTCGGTTCTCAATCTTATTTGATGCGAAATTTCTCTGGCTATGGCTTCTTGATTGAAAACTTTTCATTTCCACACAACAAAACACAATCAAAAACACTGCCACCCACGGAAATACATTGCCACTTGTCCATTTTGCCGACTCCTTTTGGTGCAACAATTGAAATCTATTTTCAAATTTGAAATAAAAAAAAAATTAAAAAAAACAAATTAAATTCGTAATCAATCAAAATCAATCGGATCGATCAAACCACTGACATGACATCAAACATGAATAAACCCGAAACCAAAAACAGAGCATTTAGATCGCAAGCTGTTCGTTGGCATGCTCAGCAAACAACAATCCGAAGACGATGTTAGACAAATCTTCCATCCGTTCGGCACTATAGAGGAGTGCACCATACTGCGCGGGCCGGACGGTGCTAGCAAAGGTGAGTAGTCTGATCCCCCTAAACCTATACATACCATACTATCTACGGCTATAATATATATCTTCCCAATCCTATTTACGATCCCACCAGTATTGCGTATACGTACCGTGTTCGGCTCGTTAACTGTTGTATAATCCAGTACCTGATTAAACCTAAGATTCTGTTGATCGTTCCGTTTTTGGACTTAGCTTGGATGTGTAGTCGTGATAAGCGTTCTTTAGATTATTCTATCCACTTCGATCCTTGGTCAAAAGAAAAGATAAGTGATTCTACGAGTCAATGCGAGTGAGGTTATGATTTCGCGCGCGTTATGCATCTTACTGCCTTCTTGATAAGCCACTCCTCCCAACTAGCTTCGAGAGTGCAAGTCGCATTGATGTTATGGCAAATGTGGGCAGCTGTGCACTGAGCCAAATAATCATCGCAAACATAACCATAACAATTACACGGCTCAACAGGGCACAGGGCCAGAGGGTTGGCTTCAGGGGGGAGGGTGGCATAAAATAAAAATCGGGTAAACAGTTCAATTAAAGTTGTTTGCTTTTGGCAGCGCTGCTCGTTTCACACGCCGGCCATTTGCATTTGTGTGCGACATTTGCAAGTAAAAACACTCCCACACACACACACACACACACACTCTGGGAAAGCAAAAATAAATGGCGCCTGCGGAGAGAGAAAGAGAGAGATAGAGTGGGACTGAGCGAGATAGCGACAGCTAGTGGGAAAGTTTCGTTTGTTTTAATATGCAAGTAACTTTTTTAACAATAACATTCCATTTTATTATGTCAAAAGTTTTGGTTTTACAAATACACACACAAACATACAGACGCACACACAATCACACTGGCAAACACTCATTCAGTGAGTGTAATTGTGTCTCTTTGTTATGTATTCTTATTTTATTTTGCTTACATTTGCAACATTTTTGACTGCCGCCTTTGTTGGCCCCGCGTGCGTGTGTGTATTTCCATGTTAATGTTTGTTATTGTTGTTCTTTTGTTGGCGTTTATTGTTGCCATTTTGATATGCATGAAAAGGCAGCGGCAGCGTCGTCCTGCGGAAGGGGGCGTGGCATACGGCCATGTGACACTTTGCATAGAAAACCAATGTCGGGGAGTGGAGTATTTATTTTTGTTTGTCCTTTCACTCTGTCCCTGCTCTTTATTGTTTTTTCCCCTCGTTTACTTTAGGCTTTAGGCTGCATTTGCCAGGAGGGGTTGTCCTCGCTCTGAGATTTCCAGCCACTTTCGAATCAAAATTTAGTCGGAAAATGAATAGGTAAAATAACAGCGAGAGTAGCATTATTTCCCAAAAAAATTTCAAGCTACATACATACATAATTTGTTAGAAAATCGAATCTAAAACCTTGGGGGGGAAGCCCACTGCCGCTGAGCGAGAAAACTTGTTGTCGATGTTGTCGATGTTGTCGGCGCCCTTCAACTTCGACAGTGGCTGCGTGCAAAGCCGCGAAAACTGTCAGTCGATGTGGTTAAGGGGTGCGCCCCAGAGGGGCGAATGATTGCGGCTGTTGCGGCCACGATGCCAACATATCATTCTTCATTAAATTGCGCTTCAAAGCCAGCTCGCTCAGCTCAACTGGAGCAGAGTCTGCTGCCGCAGCTTTTTTCGGAGACGGAGACGGAGACGGAGACGGAGTCGTGGGCGGAGGTGACGGTGACGGGCGCTAGCCTGTGTAAGTGCCAAAATCCATCAACGTCAATGCTTTCCATGCCCCGCGCCGCGAATTATATTCAAAGAAAATGGACTCAGACCGGCGCAGTCCTCATTACTCCGACTCCGACTCCGACTGGGCGAACTGCAAATGTATGCAAATGATGATGCATGTGCCAGCAAAATGCGGTGACGCTGAATTCGAGGGCGAACAATAATAACCCATCCCTGCGCCTGTCGTCCGTCGCTGTCTGTGCGCCTGACAGGCTGCAGGAATAAGCGCAACCATCATGTTAAATTATGCAAATTCGATTTCAGTGAGTGAATGAAATGAAACGAGGTAAAGGAAAGGTTTTTCTGGGCCGGGGTCTCTGGCTGACTTTGAAACTTTAGCTCCGCACAGAACACAAAGCATGTGGCAGCACTGAGCGAAATAGTCGATGTAATGCCACATGAAATAGAAGAAACTAAGCAGTTAGTCCTTTGCAAAGCTAACTCTTAGTTTCCCTAGAAGGTCTCGGGCAGCGACTGTCCTTGACTGACCTCCGAGTCCTCCTATTTCTCCCAGTGTACTACACATGTGGCGGAGGCGAAAAACTCTACCGCTTGACAATGGATGGGCCGGAGGCCACAGCCGGGATCCAAGAGCCAGGAGCTAGCAGCCAGGAGCCAGGAGCCAGAACAGGCTGGCGGCTCATTTGATTAGAATATTCATGCATGCACTTCATTGTCATCAAGGGTGGCAGGCAGCAAAGTTGTCATCTCGTCCTACGCCTTGTCATCTGTGCAATCAACACAATTGTGTGTCTCCGGGCCGCTTCCCCCCGCTCCCCGCCGCTCCCCGTCCGATCAAAGCGCCTGCTCCAGTGCGTGCAGATGAGCAGCAACGGGTGTCGTCTAGTGGCAGAGCCCAGCATTTTGCATAAGTAGCCGCATGAGTGTGGAGGCGCCTCCTGTTGCTGACAGACAACTGGCGTAAGTTGACGTTGAATGCGCATAGTCGGCATTGGCAGTGGCAGTGGCAAGGGCCAGTGGCAAGGAGGCGGCCTCTACGGCTCAAAGCGCTTTCAGCCTAATCACTGCAACTGGAAGCTGTCATTAAGTAATTGGAGATGGAGTTAGACTTGGATTGAAGTGAAGTGAGGGAAGCGGCGCATCCTTGATAGAACAGTTATACATCATAAGCATGCAATATGAGATGGCTTTCAAATGTTTAGCCCGGGGCAGGACGACACTTAATTAATTTCGAGCATAAAATGCGACTGAAGCGCACACTCAAGTCGCACACCTGATCAGACCTTGAGTCAATCGACCCACTCAATGAATGGCATTGTCAAGTTGTGCTGCCAGAAACATAAATTGAATTAAAACATCGTTTAGACTCGAAATTAATTCGAAATGTCTCGCTTTGTCAAATTAATTTTAATTGCCGCAAAGCCCAACAAAGAGCCCAGCGGCAAAGCCGAAGGCAGCGGCAGCGGCAGCGGCAGCCTCGACGCCGTCTTTGCAGCTGACACACAAAAACAAATTCCAATTAATACAACCGCACACACATACGAATGCGTACTCGTAAATACTCGTGTCTGTGCGGCTGCCACACACAGAAGCACACTCTCGAGGACACAACAATAGCGCGCCATAAAGTAGACTTCAAATTTGGTCGGCATTGTCGTCTATCATATCAAAAGCGGCGCAAACCCCATAAATGCCAATAATTAATGTGACATTTTCGGCGTAATTGAGGCAAGTATGCAGCAGAGCGGCAGAGCAGCAGGCAGTCAGCCTGTCACAACCGCACGCCCATGCACACGGACGTGAAATGTATCTAGGCATGCGGAGAGTATCTGTATCCAAGTGTGCATGCGTGTATTTCAAAGCATTCCCCAAAACTGCATGGCATGCCAAGTGGCAAACTGCTGCTGCTTCCTGCCTGCCCCCCGCCCTCGCTTGGCTAATTGAATTTCTGCACATAGCTCTGGCAAATTCTACGAGTGGGCGGACTCGAAAAAAAGCCCGAAAAAACCGACATCGAGTGTGCAACAAAATTGTGTCGCAGCTCAGGTGCGTGCTGCCGCCGCTCCTCCTGCGAGTCTCCGTCTCCACTTAAAGAGCAAATTTATTGCCTGCAAAAAAGTTAAGTAGCCTTCACATAATTGCTCAGAGGAAAGTTTTTTAATACCTCCGCTCCCTGCCAGCAGCCCCTGGGCTTTGCCTCAAACTTTGCAATGACAGTTTAAGTTGTTTTTCAGGCTGTTGCTGCTGCTGCTGCTGCTGTTGCTGCTGTTGCTGCTGCTGCTGCTGCTGCTGCTGCTGCTTTGGCTGCTCCACTTGTTGTTTGGCCAACAAATTTTTACAGCCAGCCATTGTGCAGTGAGGGACGCAGCTCTCGCCGCCTGTCAACTCTCACTTGCACACATGGACACTCGCACACACACCCAGATACAGATACAGATACAGAAACAGATACAAATACAGATAGAGATACACACGCACACCCCCTCCCAGATATCACGTGGCAGCTCTGGCATCATCATTTCATTTCAATTTCAATTTATATGAGCAAAGTTTTATGAAGTGCATGTCATGCTGCCTGTCGCCCTGCTCCACTCTACTCCTGTTTCCACACACACACACTGCCGCAGTGCATTTATTAAATTTCATTTCATTTCAGCTTTATACTCATGTTTATTTTACAGCACACTAAAAAGTTCTAACAAGTGCTGATTGAGTGCGCTGCAAAAACTGTCAAACAACCCGAACAAAGCCCGAGTAGCGGTGAAATGTTGTAAAACTGAAATTGAATTTACCGCTTATGACATGCGAGAGCTTTGCTTTATTTGATTCTTTATCATAATGGTGGAGAGTGTGATGAGATTTCGATTGAATCCGAGGCGAGGGCAAAGACCATTTCCGCCCAATCGAGCTCCCATACTCTCTTCGTAGCATCGTAAATCGCACTTAGCCAAGAGTGCTGATAGCTAAAGTTGCAAGAGCATATGCCCCGGCTCCCATAAAGCATGCCTCTTGTGCTCTAATGCCTCTTAATTAATACAAAACTCCCTCCGCGCGCCCCTCTTTAAGGACTCCCCGCAGTCTATAACTATTTATTGCGTGCCAAGAAGCAGCATTTATGTTATGCCAGCACACAAAAATCGGAGTAATAATAATAATAATGTAAGTTGCGGCATAAGCTCATAAGTGCCATTTAAGCCACAGACATCCTAGTGGCTGCTGCCGCTGGCAAGCCAAAAGTCCTGGACGCCCAACTGCAAAATGGCACACAGGCCAAGGAATTAAAATACATATCAAAAGGGAGAAAGAAACAAACG